TAAACAAACGAAGACGTCATTCACATAGCATTTACACGAATGAAAACTGATTCTGAGTAATTCCATGTTTATATTCACTCAAACTTAGCAGTTCAAAATTGTGAAAATGCATTCGGAAAGTTTTCTCGTTGGGAAATGATCATATTCAAGAACGTCGAACCGAATTCTGAATGAATTCTTTCACTTGAAAAGTTGAATGGTAAAAGAATGAATCGGTCATGATAAGAGGACAGATCTTTAATCAAATAATTTTTCTATACCGAGCTGTCATATGACTGATTACATCGAAAACTTTATTCCTCTCATAAGATGTAGTGAAATTTCATGAAACTAATGGGAATGTCATGACATGCATGCTCGAGTGCTAATTTGGATTGTTTGATTAAGTCCATTCACACTTGCATCATCCACTTTCGCAGGCAATTTACAGAAGTTTTATCAATTTATTGTTTAAGCACGGATACTTTAGGAAAACGATGATTTGCTCATTGTTTAGAAGGTCATTGTTAACGTCACGGAAAGGTCAGCTACTTCAGTTGAACAGCTGATTTGCAGTATAGCAGTTAATCTAGCCTCCTTTAAAAAGGCTTCAAATATCGATAATAATAGTGATAATGGTAATGATGGTGATTAGTGAGAATGACAATTGCAGAAATATTGCTGCAAAATATCATACAGAGCGAAGACGTCATTCACATAGCATTTACACGAATGAAAACTTCTATATTCACATGTTCTCTATTCACACTTGCAGCACAATTGCGTTTCACATGACTTGTTCGACATTTTCGTGTGGGCGATGATGTTTCTTTTTTGTTTGTGTCTCTTATTTCAGATTCATTCAGGATTCTTGATGGAAATAAGAATCCGGTTTTTTGAGTATGAAGTAGTACATACTGAACGTAATTGGTGCCGTCGATAAAGTGGACCGTATATATTCATACTGTAATGCTGTCATGTAGATACGCCTACGCGTTTTTAATCAAAAGAAAATTGTAAACTGAATCGATTTTGCGATTGGAATGTTTGTAAACTGAATCGATTCTGATCGATACATGGTGAGGAAAACCTGCCGCATTGACGCGGAGGCACGTCAAAGACTACAAATGCCAGATTGATAACAGCTTCTTATAATCTGTGATGCATGACTGTGACGTCTTAAGATCAAAAACAAACTCTGTGAATGGAATGCTTTTTGAAGTATTCATTCGATGAGTCATTCGAAACGATACAATAGACTCACGTAGGGTTTATCATTGAGTCATTAGAAGCAATGAAGAAGCGAATGATAAAATATGCAAACAAGAAATTATACTAAGAAGACGCATCGTAATATATACATCATTAACATATACGGAACATATACGCTATTAACATAGACTTCAATAAATTTCATCAATGACTGGAAGTATGGCCAATTACTAATTTGAATTATCACAAATCGTTACGAGGTCAAGCTGCCGAAGCAATAATCCAAAATGCGGAAATATCGAATCAAAAATATCGATCGGTCGTTGGGTTGATCACCAAAATTCGATCATAATTTTATTGCGCTATCTCATTTTCTTGGTGATTGAAGATTCTTCAACTCAAGCGTTAGAAGGGTGAGAAATTTATTCATCTGTTTTCATCTCTGTGAATTTCAATTGTCAAATAAAATTTCGCTTACCAATGTGACATAGGAAATCAGCGAAAAATATTATCACATCAAGGAAGAAATTGATATTCAGACTTGACAATGTCATTTCCAAACACAGTAACAGAGTATAGTATTTCCTTGAACCTATCCCTCGGTTTATGTTCAAATTTCACAACAGTGGAGGACAGCAGATGGAAGAATCACTCACCTGAGCTCAGATGGTGGCTGAAGTGTTGTTTCCTTCCTTCCCTCTTTCAAGTGCAGCAATACTCAATGACCGCTTTTGAAACGCAGAAAAAAAGATTACGGTGACTTTGAGAAATCTATTCTGTTTCACAAAAATAGACTATACTACTTGCCGTTTTCGTTCATTAGTGGGCAACACTGCCGATATTGAGAGAGACTGCTCTCTAAACGATAGACCGCAGTTATTCAAGGAAATACGTTACAAAAATATCACTTAATGTAGCATATAATCGTATAAACTATTTCGAGTCAACTTTCTTTCTGATGTGGATTGGTTCATTGGATTTGTGCCCTGATTGAGCGCTGGCTGAGGTGGTTGTTGGGTTCAGAGATGATCAACACGCTGCGACAAAGAGTATACGTTGGTTGATGCACTATGTGGTGAAAGGGCTACGTATGGTAAAAATGAACGTTGCCCATAAGGATAATCGCTTTCACTTGTGGATTGAGGCTCTGAGATGATTCGCTGATCCGGTTGTTGATAGGGTGTTGAGGGGGTTTGGTCGAAGGGATAAGACTGCGGAGGTGGTTGTTGCGATGATGCGATCGAACTTGGCGGAACGATTGGTTGACAATCATATATTATGAACGGCTTCTCTGGCTCGATGTCAGCATGCTTCTTCTTTTTACGCTTTTTATCCTTCAAATCTTGCTCTCTTTCGGCCAATTCGGCTTGTGCCAGATAGGGTTCGAGTGAACTCTGCAATGCACCAAAATAGGGCTGATTTTCAATTGGTTCAGGTGGAGGGTTGGGTATAGGAGAGGGTACTTGTTGCTGTGATTGAACTGGGAACTGCGTTATTGGCAGCAATTGCTGTTGTAACTGTGACTGAGTTGGCATTCCCATTGGTTGTTGTTGATAGATTGGTTGATATGGCGAAACAGCAGGGCCGAATGTGGCAGATTTTGGTGACTCAGCGGACATTTGTTGTAGATCAACGCCGTTCAGTGTTAGCTGTGGCTGGACGTTTTCTTCTTCTTTCTTCTTTCTCATCACACAACAGTAAATTGACACCGAAATAATCACAACAATTATGATCAACAACAGTACTGCACCCACTACGATGCCGATATCACCACCAAATCCAAATCCAGTCTCCAGAAATCCATCATCTGTAGTAGATGTATCGGCACGGGTGGTAGCAGAAGTAGTACTATTCGTTTGCGATCCGGGCACAACTGCTATCAGCACTAAAGTCACGAAATTTTTGAGAACAAATCAGAATTGTTTAATGATTTCACCGTTCTCCTACAAGTTCAGCCTAAAAGGCATTCAAACACTCATCCGACCAATTTGGTTCTATTTTCTGGTGTCATCGGTGAAAATTTTAATTCAGAAATATCCACAATTTTGACTTTGAAAGGAGATCTGTTTTTTTAGGGAATTCAGCTGTCCAATTCACAAAAATTCTCATGCTTCAATAGCTCATAGAGATAGGAAAAATCAAACGTAATCTTTTCTGGAAACGAAAAAAATTACTTTTTCTCAGTTATGAGTTTTCCCTTCAAACGGATATTTGAATGATAACTCCATTTTGATGATATTACTGTGAATTTTCTTCACCTTTACTGAAATTCAATATCTAATCTCTGAAGTAATAAAAAAGATTGAAAGTTACAACGACAATTTGAAATAATTTTTGAATTTTGCGTACCGAATGCAAATATTTTTTGTAGAGAGATCGTCATTTTGCACGATTTAGCAGCCGAGTTGACTTGGTTTGGATTCGTTATCAGTTTATTTTACCTATAACGTTATTATTACGACCTACGCAAACCACGACATCTTTGCAAGTAATGAATACATAGCGATACGACTCACCAAATCCTCTACCTATACATATATACGTTATCAGTACCATTTTTGCGAACTAAAAATGTTTATGCGTACGTTAAGAGCAGTTAATGATAACATTACCTAGTAACTGCAGCATATAGCAAGCAATCTGAATAATAACAGCACTAGTCATGGCTTTTAGTAATAAGCACATATAAATAACGTTGATGGTGATTTGATTGATAAGGAATCTTATCATCATGCTAATAAACTAATAATACATGGACTCATTGCATATTACTGCTACAGTGTCATCTTTTTATCAACATAGTTAAGGCGCCTGTTTTTCGAGTTTACGCACGGCTTTATCATCAATCACTTGACAAATTCAGAAAAAAGTTTTGATTTGAAGGAGAAGTTATTACCTTATGCATTGTCATGACCATAAAATATTTATGTTCATGACAATGCATAAGGTACTA